TGTATCTCTGTTCATGAAAAATACTGATATATGGCTTTTTTTTTTTTCTTGTACTCTCTTGGTCTTGTTTTGGTATCAGGATAATACTAACCTTAAAAATAAGTTGTAAGTGTTTACACAGCTTCTGTTTTGAGGACTAGATTGTATTGATATTGTCCCCACTTTAAGTGTTTGGTAGAATTGTCCAGTGAAATCATCTCAGTCTGAAGTTTTATTTTTTTCGTAAATGTAGGACTGTTGGGGTTATCAGTTTCTTTTTTAATGAATTTTAGTAGTTTGTGTCTTTAAAGGAATTGGTTAATTTAATTTAAATTGTCACATGTATGAGCATAGAGGTTTTTATATTAATATCTTTTTTTTTTTTAAATCCTCACCCGAGGATATTTTTCTATTCTTTGTTCAGATAGAGTGGGAAGGAAAGAGAGAGAGAGAGAGAGAGAGAGAGAGAAACATCGACGTGAAAGGGACACATTGAGTGGCTGCCACCCACACAACCAACCAGGGCTGAGGACAAACTGCAACTGAGTTACATGCCCTTAGCGGAAACCGAACCTGGGTCTCTCAGTACCACAGGCTAATGCTCTAACTGCTGAGCCAAACCGGCCAGGGCTAATATCTTTTTTTTTTTAACGTCTGTAGGGTTTGTGGTGAATTATCTCTTTCATTATGGTAATGCTTTTTTCCTTGGTCAGTCTGGCCTAAGGTATATCACTTTTATTGATATTTCAAAGCACCAGCTTTTGTTTTCATTGTTTTACTCTATTTTCTGTTTTCAATTTTGTTGATTTATTCTCTCTTATTATTTCCATCTTTCCTTGTTCAGTGTTTACTTTGTTTTTCTCTAGTTTAAGTTTTATTATTGGTTTGGATTAGATTGGCTTGGATTATTGGTTTGAGACGTTTTCTAATATAGTATTTAGTGCTATAAATTTATCTCTAAGCATTGTATTAGCTGCATCCTATAAAGTTTGGTATATTTTACTTACTTTAAAATATTTCTTATTTCTCCTGAGATTTCCTTTTTGACCTATGGATTACTTTAAAGTGTCTTTAAATTCTCAAGTATTTGTAGATTTTCTGATTATCTTTGTTATTTTTTTATTTCTTTTTACAAACAACAACAACAACATGTTTTTATTGGTTTTTAGAGGGTGGGGGGAGAAGCATTGATTGGCTCCCTCCTGCATGCCCCCTACTGGAGATCAAGCCTGCAATCTGGGAGATCAAGCTTGGTTGGCCCTGACCAGGAATGAACGCATGACCTCTTCGTGCATGGGATGGCACTCAACCACTGAGCCACACCAGCCAGGGCTTAGTTCTTGTTTAATTTCGTTATGATAAGAGAATATACGTTACATGATTTCAATTAAACAAAAACTTTAACCATATATAGCCTCTCTGGTGAACATTGCATATGCACTTGAAGAGAATATTTTATTGTTGGGTGGTGTGTCTATAAATGTTAATTAAGGAGCCCTGGTCAGGTAGCTCCGTTGGTTAGAGCGTCGTCCCAGTACACCAAGGTTGTGGGTTCAATCCCTGGTCAGGAAACATACAAGAAACAATCAGTGAATGCGTAAATAAGTGGTACATCTCTCTCTCTCTCTCTCAAATCAATCAATAAAAAATTTTTAAATGTTAATTAAGGAAGTTTTTTTATAGTATTCCAATTTTTTATATCTTGTTGATTTTCTGTTTAGTTTTCTATTGATTACTTAGAAATAAGGTCTCTAAGTATAATTGTGGATTAATCTGTTTTGCCATTCTATTCTGTTTTCCCTTGGTGTATTTTGAAACTTTGTTCTTAGGTGCATACACATTTACAGTTCTTGCCTTCTTGGTGAATTGATTCTTTTTATCGTTATGTAATGCCATGCTAATTTTTCTTGTTCTTGAGTGTACTGTGTCTGATACTAACATAACTACTCTAGCTGTCTCTTGATTAGTGGTATCATCAGATATCTTTTCCCATTCTTTTACCTCTATATATTAGTTATATTTGAAATGAGTATCTTATAGACTGCATATAGTTGGGTCCTGCATTTAACCTATTTTTTGAAATCTGACAATTTCCGTCTTTTAATTGGTGTTTCACAACCTTTATATTTAATGTAATTGTTGATGTGGTTAGATTTAGACTGCTGTTTGTTTTTTTTCTGATTGATGTCTGGTTTATTTTTTGGTGGTGATGGGGTTCGCCTCTTGTTTTAATATTCTGTCTTTACATTTAGTTTTTTTACTGGTTTGCTTTTATTTTCCTTATCTAAGAATGTATGTATTTTTGCCTTCATTCCTGTAGGATATTTTCACTGAATCTAGAATTTTAAGTGGACACTGCTTTTTTTTTTTTTTTTAAGCATTTAAAAATATTGCCCAAGGATATTTTTTCATTGATTTTAGATAGAGTAGACGAGGGAGGAGGGGAAGAGAGAGAAACACGTCGATTGGTTGCCTTCCGAACAGGCCCTGACTGGGACCAGGGATTGAACCCGTGACTCCTCCTCAATGCTCTGGCTGATGTTCTAACCACTGAGAATACAGGCCAGGGCCAGTTATAGCTTTCTGTGAGCTTATTCTGTTTTAGGTTTATTTAGCTTCTTGAATTTGCATATTTATGACCTAAAATTTGGGGAGCTTTTAGCTCTTCTTCAAATACTTGTTTTTCATCAGTCTCTTGGTATGTTTTTTTCAGGTTCACACAGTAAAAATTTTAGACTTTTTTTTTTTTTTTTTTTTATCCTCACCCGAGGACATTTTTCCATTTTTTTTGTTCAGATAGAGTCGGAGGGAGAGAGAGAGAGAGAGAAACATCGACGTGAAAGGGACACATCGAGTGGCTGCCACCTGCACGACCAACCAGGGCCGGGGACAAACTGCAACCGAGGTACATGCCCTTAGCGGGAACCAAACCCGGGTCTCTCTGGACCGCAGGCTGACTCTCTAACCGCCGAGCCAAACCGGCCAGGGCAAGACCTTTTTATGTTGTCCCCCAGGAACTTGAGACTCTGATTTGCCCATGCTTACCTTATTAGTTAATAGCACTATTAGGGCTTGAATTATTTAATTAACAGTTCATGTTCTAAATGCCAGTTCTATTTTATGTAGAGATAAAAGTATAAGAGTATATGCATGACTATGGTTAGTTTAAATTATAAATTTGATATTACTGCATTCAGTTTTTCAGTTCTGCAACTGTTGTATTATGTGTCTATAACTCCTTACGTGATTTCATCCTACTCCATAGCTATAAATGCAGTCTACATACTGATAGTATCAAATTTAACTGAAGCCTTAATTTCTTTCTTGAGCTCCTATTTCTATATTCAGTTTCCTACATTTCTATTTGTATACCCTAAAGCATCTTTATAAGTAACATGTTCATTCCGAACTCTTTACTTTTATTTACCACTCTTTCTCACAAAACTGCTTCTCCATTTGATTAACGTTACCCAATTGCTCAGGCTCAAAACCTAAAAGTTAATTCTTTTTTTCTCTCGCCTTTGATAGCCAATCTGTCAAATTCTGTCTACTCTAATTCTGAAATCTCTATTGAAATTATAGATTTCTCTTCATCTTCAATTGCTACCAGTTCTTTCCTAGATTCTTGACAGTTGCCCCCTAACAGGACTTCACATGACAATCAGAATAGGCATTTAAAGCAAATCTAATTATGTTTCTCCCTGAAGACTGCTTAATACCTTCCAGTGGATCTTCATTGTAATCTGTACTCCTTATCATAGTTTGCATCCCATAAAACTGGGGTCAGGAAAGCTTTACTGTAAAAGGTAAGGTAGCAAATATTTTAGGCTTTGTGGGCCATATGGCTGATGTCACAGTTACCCAGCTCTGACATTGGAGTGCAGAAATAGCCATACACGGTCTGTAAGCAAATGATCATGGCTTCATTCCAATACAACTATTTACAAAAATTAGCCAGCCAGCCATGGCCAGTTTGGCTCAACAGTTGTCTGCCCGCAGACCAAAGGGTCACAGGTTCGATTCCTGGTCAAGCACATGTACCTGGGTTGCAGGTTTGATCTCCGGCCCTGGTCAGGGTCGTGCGGGAGGCAACTAATCAATGTGTCTCTCTCACATCGATGTTTTTCTCTTTCTCCCTCCTTTCCACTCTGTCTAAAAATCAATGGAAAAATATCCTTGGGTTAAGATCAACCAAAAAAAATATATATATAGCCGACCAGGTTTGATCCATAGACTAGTTTTATAACCGTTGGCCATTAACTGCTGCTTGATCTCATTTTGTACTAGTCTTCCCCTCATTCACTGCATGGAAGCCATGCTATTTTCTTGCCATTCTTTGAATACATCAAGTTTATTTCCTTCTTACAGCCTGTAGTTAACCTCCCTCTGCCTAGAACACTCCTCCTAGAGCTCTGATTTATCACTTCTCAGTATTCAGTCTTTGCTCAGATGTTACCTCCTTTGGCTTTTCTGCCCAGCCCTGTCTTAAAGAATCACTTATACCATCTCTCATCAGGCCCTCATCACACTGTTTTCTTTAAAGCATTTGTTACTACAAGTTTCTATTTGTTTTTCTTTACCCACTAGAATATAAACTCCACGAGAACAGGGACCTTGTCTGCCTTGCTCATTGCTATATTTCCATACTCAGATGAGTTACTGATTCATGGTCAGAGCATAGTAATTATTTGATAAATGAATCAATGATTTCCATTTTGTATGTATAAATTTTGTGACTTTTGAATTTATAACAACCTAGCAGAAAATAGATCTGGCATGTTTAGATGAAAATTGATGTAGAAATGTTCTTAATATTCCATTTCTAAGACTTTTCCCTTTTTTTTTTTTTTTCTTTTGTTGGGGTGGTGAATATAGACTTGAAGAGGAATGACTATACACCTGATAAAATTATATTCCCTCAGGATGAGCCTTCAGATTTGACTCTTCAGCCTGGAAATTCCGCCAAAGAATCAGATTCAACTAATTCTATTCGTCTGATGTTATAACAGAATCATTGGTTTTGCCTACACCTAACAATGTTACTGTGTCGCTTTTCATTCAGGAGGAAATTGTTTGATAATATAGAAAAGTATGTGCAAATTGAATGTGCTAGCTCTGGAACAGTTAAAAGGTCAAATCTTTTTCTTAAACTTGATTAAACTAGTGAGTCAGGAACTACCTATAGGATACAGCTAGCAGCTGCTAAAATTTAAAGGTAAAGGAGAATTAGTATTTGTAACTTTTTAAAGGGCTCTTTTTAGCAGAGGACTTCAGTTGACTTTGTTCTGAAGAGGGTGATAAGTAACTCTCATGTGGTGCAATACCATTAACCAAAGTTAGGTGTCAGTGCAGATGTTATTGGCAGCTGCTTGACTGCCATTGAGCTAGCGAAATGAAGCAATCACCCAACCTTTGGGTAAATGGCGGTTCAGACCTCTTCCTCCGTGTATTGTAGTGTGTTCAGTGATGATGTTCACTAGTTCCCAGCTAGATGCTTGATAGCCACAGGAAAGGTGATAACTTGTTATAGTTCTAGATCCACAGGGATGTATAAGAAGCCTGAGCTGAAAAATATTTTCTAAGAGGGACTTTATGAATCAGGGTTAGGCTCCATATTTAAAAATAGAGCCAGTTTTTTGTTAGAGTCCAATTGTGCAAAAGTATTAGTGGATTTTTAAAAAGATGTTTATCAAGTCATTGTAAGTAGAAGAAAGCAAGCCATGGTAGATTTATAACATAAATATATCAAAGGAGAAACTTAACTGATTGTTCAATAGAAGTCACCTTGTGAGAAAAGTTAAAGAACTTTTCTCCTATCTGTAGTTGTATTGACAACCTGGAAGTTACATATTTTTCCAAAGATTATTTTGACCAGTATATCAAATAAGAATGTAAACATGAACTCTTGCATATATTTAAAATTGTGTAGGGCCATCTGAATATGGGTTTTGTTTGTGGTACTTATTTAAGAAGTTGAGTTGTATTATCATGTCGGGAGATTGCAATGCAACTTTATGCTAATAAAATGTAATTTAACTGCCCCAGATGTTGTTGAATACTCAACAACAAGAAAAACTTTTCATCTGACTAAAGTTTTATGTTTTGATTTTTTTTTCCATTGTTGTTTGTTTTCCTAGGTACTGATTTTAATTTTTATTTGGGAGGGAGCAGTGTAAATCTTATTTGTATTCAGTAGTGTATCTCATAGATACAGATGAGGCAAAAAGAGAGATAAGCTGTTTAAATAGTGTTTAATATTGATGGGGAGAAAAATGTATTAAAGATATTATACTATATATACATTTTGTATATCATTAAATCTTTAAAAGAAATTAAATAAATTTATTCTTGTTTACAGATGTTTAGTGAGTTTAATTCTGAAAAATTATCTGTTTTCAGAGTGTTAATTTGTTTTCAGAGTATTCGTTTTTTAAAATGAACCATGTGTACACCTATGCTTTTTTATCCCCTGTCACTTGGAGGAGAGGGGCAGAGATTTTTTTCAGAAAAGAATGCATCTACGGATGGATTTTTGTGACTTACCTTATTTACCTTATCTGTTCTGATTGTTTCCTAGCTGGGCTTCATACAAGGCATCTGTCTCTGAGGAACCCAGATCCTTAGACCTGTCACAACTAGCACTGGGTTAAGTGCTCAGGAATATGATGTATTGGGGTGAAACCTTTCAACCACTGTGTGTCTGTCTCAAAACTAGATTATCTATTACCAATGAAGAGCTGTCTTAATTATTTTTGTATTTCATTTAGTGCCTTGCAGGAGTTTGTATCATAGAAAATAGGTGCTTAATAAATACATGTTGTAAAAGTACCACAGAATGTATCCAACGTTAGATGATCAGTGAGCTTTTTCTTAGGAAAAATCCCAAGCTAAGGTTCTGACCCTCTCTCTTTGGAATATGTTTTCCTTTTAGGTGCTTCAGAAATTCCTCAAAGCAGAGTATCTTCCGGGGGTTCATGATTTCACCTTGGTGAGCATGCGGGCAGGGTTATTATTTTAGAGTGTGCTCTTTCTACTTAAAAAGAACAGTTTGCTATAAAACTGCCATGCTATGCTGACAGCAGCCTCATCCATCTTCTTTGTGTCACCTGATTGCATTTTGTACAGTGACATGTACAGGTTTGTAGCCTAGGAGCAATAGTCTGCACCGTATAGCAAGCTGTGGAGTAGATCGTACCCTCTAGGTGTGTAAGTGCACTCTGGGATCTTTCCACGTTGATGAATCACTTGCTGTCCCATTGCGTGTGACCGTGCTTGTTTTTTCCTTGGAATTTCTATGCAATCCTGCGTTATGGAAATTTCATTTTCATTATAAATACCTTAGTATATGTTTCTAAAGTATAAAGCTCTGCAATATTTTTACACCAAAAAAAAATTAAGTTTCTTAATATTGTCAAATAATGTAATCATTCTCAATTTTTTTTTTTTTTTACAATTTGCATGAGTCAAGACCCACATAAGATTCATACATTGCAGTTGCTTGATTTGTCTTTAAAGTTTCTTCTAATATATAGGTTCCTCCTCCTGTCTTTTCCCCCAGTTTATTTTTTGAAGAACCAGTTTGTTTGTTAAAAGCTTCCCACATTCAGAGTTTTGCTGATTATTTCCCTTAGGTAGTGTTTTACATGTTTGTTTTCTGTACATACCATAATCTACTTATTACGTGTACAGGGTTGGTCATATTCAAGTCTATTTTTTTACAAACTGCAACATTGATGGTGGCATATATTTCCATTAAGAAATACAGGTCTGGCCGGGCTGGTGTTGCTCAGTGATTAGAGCATCAGCCCACCAAAGGCACGCATCTCGGTTGCAGTATGTCTCTCTCACATATCTCCCATCCCCCTTCTCTTCTTCTCCCCCTCCCTTTCTCCCATTCTATCTGAAGATAAGTGGAAAAAAATATCCTCGGGTGAGGATTGAAAAAAAAAAGCAAAAGAAATACAGGTCTGCTTGTCTTTTTAATGGTCGTTGCCTAGAGTTATTAATTAGGTCACTGGTTTTCGATGCAGACCACAGACCCTGAGGGTCCCCAAGACACTTTTCAGGGGGCCCACAAGGTCAAAACTCATAATTCTAAGATAGTGTTTGCCTTTTTTACTAGGTTGAAAGTTTACTGATGGGACAAAATTATGATGAGCAAAACTGCTCATACCTTAGCATGAATTAAGGCAGTAGCACCAAATTATAAATTATATTCTTCACCCTAACACCATAGCTTTAAAAGGGGGTGGGGGGGGACAGTTGGTCTTTGATGGCCCTGGCCGGTTTGGCTCAGCGGTTAGAGCATCAACCTGTAGACTGGAGAGTCTGAGGTTCAGTTCCTACTAAGGGCACGTACCTTGGTTGTGGTTCGTCCCTGCCCCCAGTTGGGGTTGTGTGGGTGGCAACCAGTCGATGTGTCTCTCTCACATCGATGTTTTCTCCCCCCCCCCCCCCCCCGCCTCCCTCCCTTCTTCTCTCCCTCCTGTTCTATCTGAAGATAAATGCAAAAATGTCCCCGGATGAGGATAAAAAAATAAAATGTCTTTGATGAAGTAATAAATTGATTTTAATTAACCTTGACCCTTGTCTTCAATACTCTGTGAAACAAAATGAGAAATACATATAAAACTTTTGTTGCATAATGAAGTGGGATGATTGTCTCAAAGAAAAGCACTTATGCAGTTGTGTGAGTTGCAAACTGAACTAGTCACTCCTTTAATTGAAAGTCATTTCTACTTGAAAGATTTCTGACTGGCAGGCAAACCAGGGTTATTCAGACTTGAGTATTTGGCAAAAGAGTAACTATACTTATTACTGCTAACATTTGAACTTTCAAAAGAAAATTGTAATTTGGAAAACTTGCCTCTTAACACCAGTAGCATGACACCTTCCCAATACTTTTCTGATGAAATCACTGTTGATTTAACAACAGTTGTTTTTGATAGTGTATAAAGAAATGTGCCAATGTTTAGAAGATCTACATAACCAATATTTTCCAGATGACCTATGCGTGATATTTAAAATGATGCATGAGTAAAAGATCTAGCAGAGTAGGAAAAGTTTATAGATTCTACACTAGTTTACTGTTAGAAAACTACTACTTGTCCAGTTCTGGTGTTTTCTCAAGTAAGAATATCTAGTTATCTAAAAAGGCTATTAAAATACAAAGTGACAGTAATCAAGACAGTGACAGTATGTAGATCAATAAAACAGAATTAAGAGTCCAGAAATGTATGGTGAATTGATTTTCAACAAGGCTGCCAACACAGTTCAGTGGGGAAAAATAATCTTTTCAATAAATCGTGCTGGGGCAACTAGATATGTACATGCAAAGAGTGAGGTTGAACCCCCACATCATACCATATACAAAAATTAACTCAAAACTGATTGAAAAATGTAAGAGCCCAAATCATAAAACTCTTAGGAAAAATATAGGGATAAGTCTCTCTGACCTTGGATTAGGCAATAGTTTTTTAGGTATGACACCAACAACAAGAGCAACCAAAGGAAAAATTGAACTTATTGAACATCAAATTTTTTAAATTTTGTATTTCAAAGCAAACCAATAATGAAGACAACTCACAGAATTAGCAATGTCTGATAGAGGACTTTTTTAAAGCACTTACAATTTATCAATAAAAAGATAACCCTTTTTTAATGATTCCTCACTCGAGAAGTTTTTCCATTTATCATCAGAGTGGGAGAGAGAAAGAGACAGAAACGTTGATGCGATAGAGCCACATCGACTGTTTGCCTCTGCATAACCTGACCAGTGCCGGGGATGAACTGCAACCGAGGTACGTGCCCTTGAAGGGAATCGAGCTCGCAACTCATTGGTTCGCGGGGCCGACGCTCTAACCGCTGAGCCAAACCAGCCAGGGCAAAAGACAATCCATTTTAAAGCTGAGCAAAGTATCTGAATAGACATTTCTCCAAAGAAGACCTAACATATGACCCAAAAACACATGAAAAGACACTTTGCATTATTAACATTGAAGGAAATGCAAATCAAAACTACAATGAAATAAATACCGCTTCTCATTCAATAGGATAATTAGGCCCTGGCCGGTTTGGCTCAGCAGTTAGAGCGGCGGCCTGCAGTCTGGAGAGACCTGGGTTCGGTTCCCGCTAAGGGCACGTATCTCGCTTGCAGTTTGTCCCCGGCCCTTGGGTCATGTGGGTGGCAACCACTCAATGTGTCCCTTTCACATTGATGTTTCTCTCTCTCTCTCTCCCTCCCACTCTATCTGAACAAAATATCGAAAAATGTCCTCGGGTGAAGATTAAAAAATAATAATAATAATAAACAGTAGAAGACTAGCCTGGCCGATATGGCTCAGTGGTTGAGTGTCGACCCATGCACCAAGAGATTGCTGGTTCAATTCCCAGTCAGAGCACATGCCCAGGTTGTGGGCCTGATTCCCAGTGGGGGACACACAGGAGGCAGCCAGTTGATGTTCTCTCTCATCGGTGTTTCTATCTCTCCCTCTTCCTTCATCTCTCTAAAATCAATAGAAAAAATTAAAATAAGAACAATAGAAGAATGAACTGTTTGTGTGCTTGCATCTATAAACCTACTTTGGCCCAACCTTGTATGTCTGCACCAAATCTGGAACATGATGAGTGTTCACAGCAGCATTATTGATGGTAGCCAAAAAGTAGAAACTAATGTCCCACAGGTGAATGAATGGTTAAATAAAAATATGGTATGTCCACACAGTAGAATATTATGAGGCAATAAAAAGCAAGTGCTGATGATATATATATATTCTACATCTTATGTGCCTTTCAGTATTTTAGTTGCTGCAAATACACCGCAGTGCAAAATGGAGCTGAATAGACTTGGACTCTTGCTCTGCCACTTATTCCACCAGTGACCAGCTAACTGAGCAAGTTGCTCTGATGATACTTCATACTGTTGTGAAGGTGCAGTGCGTTAAGTATTAAGTACATAAAGGTGCTGATATCATAGGTCTCTATGCTCCCTTCTTTTCTTGGATATTCCAGTGAAGAGGAGAACATGATAGAGAACATTCTGAGTGATTTTTCCCTTTGTAAAGGAATTTATGATCTTGCAGCCTTTTCTAATTTAGTATAGTTAAAATACGAGTATTAACTTAAGAGATAGGTAGGTGTGTATAGTGTGTGTCAAATTGTACAAGTCTGCTCCAAATTTCTCAACATTTGAAGGCACTTTTAGGTTACCCTTAAGAGTGAAATTCAGGGCGGTGGGGAGAATGCAAAAAGTAGCCATACACACAAAGTAGCCACAAGTACAGATGTAAAACTAAAACATCAAGAGAATTAAAGCTGCCCTGGCCAGTGTGGCTCAGTGGTTAAAGTGTCAGCCCATGCACCAAAGGGTCGAGAGTTCAATTTCTGGTCAAGGGGATGTACCTGAGTTGCCGGTTCGACCTTTGGCCCTGGTAAAGAGTGTGTGGGAGGCAATCAATTGATGTGTCTCTCTTACATTGATGTTTCTCTCTTCCTGTCTCCTTCCTACTCTCTAAATTAATGGAAAAAATATCCTCAGGTGAGGATTAACAACAAAAAGAATTCACGTGAAGCAACCATACAAGTGCTCAGTCATACACAAGGACACATGTAAGAAAGTCAAGATAATGGAAAATATGTGGGAGGAAGTTTTAAAGAAGGATCTACTGCCCTGGCCGGTTTGGCTCAACGGTTAGAGGGTTGGCCTGCGGTCCTGAGAGACCCGGGTTCAGTTCCTGCTAAGGGCGCATACCTCGCTTGCAGTTTGTCCCCGGTCCTGGTCGGTTGTGCGGGTGGCAGCCACTCGATGTGTTCCTTTCACATCGATGTTTCTCTCTTTCTCTCTGTTCCTCTCTCTCCCTCCCATTCTACCTGAACAAAAAATGGAAAAATGTCCTCTGGTGAGGATAAAAAAAAAAAAGAAGGACCTACTTAATGGTTTATTCTGGTGACTGCAAATAACAAGCAAAAAAAAATATGTACAAGGAAAAA